CTGCAGTGAGCACAGAGGTTGATGTCATTTAAAGAAAAATACCTACTGCTTCTAAATTAAGCAATGGGGGATCCAAATAGTTGGCTTGCTGGTTTTTGCTATTTAAAATGTTGTTATGCAGTTTATGAAGTGTGAGGTCTCAGATTTATTAGGACACAAAGCAGATGAAATGATGCGAGTCATAAGGGATGGATGAGACAGACACAGGGTGAGTTATTCAGGCCAAGCTGCTGCACTTTCTTAGAAACTTAATCTAGTCTTAAAGCAGCCCTGGCTGGACAGAAGCTAAAAGGGAATGGAGGGATTAAGGCCATGGCTGTGTCCCTTTTTTAGCTTTCACACCTACAGTGCACTACCCTTCCCTGGGCCTGTCACAGCTCTCCAGCTCCCCGGCTTAGCTGAGGCGCAGGAGTTTTTTGTGTTTTATAAATCCCTCTGACTTCTGACAGCTCTGTCCTGACTCTCTTGACATTTTTCACTGTGATGGATACAAGTGGTGCACAGTACATGCAGATCACAAAAAGATGCTTTTTGGGCTATTCACTGTGCCCTGAACTAGAAGGAGCTACTGTCTCATCTTCCGAGTCCCTCTTGCAGCAAAGCTAAAAGAAAACTCACAGAAAAGACAGTTAGTTGTAAAGCTACTTTCCATTGCTCAGCTAGTTGCAAACCTCCCCCCACAACCCTTATTCCTCCTCCTTTAACTTGTTTGTGGTCCGGGCTGATCCATCCTCAGCCTGGAGTGCAGCGTAGGTGAAATGTGAGCCTGCTAATTCTGCACTTTCCGCTCTTCAGAGGAAGAAGTAAGTATTCCATGAGTGCAAGGAGTGCCACCTAATGGCCCGTTGAGGAACCCCAAAGCTCCACCCAGCCCGCCGTCTTGGTGGTTTTTTCCCCATATACATGAGTATATTACAACACAGTGTATTTTCACAAGCACGCTGAAATGCAAGTCTCTTTCATGGCTTGTCTACCCATAAACTATGCTTTGAGGGTAATTTAACGTAGAGTCTTTAGGTTCATGTGCAAACACTTGTCTCTTTAAGCTCAAGACTTCTGTAGTAATCAGATGCAAGTAGAGAATTTGGATGTCCACAGTGCTTTTCCTCAGAAACTCACCATTTGCTCCTTCTTGCTGTTACCCTTCAGTACAGCATAACTTGCTTTATTTAAGGATGTACAGGGATGCTGTATGGAAAATACAACAGAAATGAGGAGCTCCATAACACATACAAGCCATTAACTTTATAGCACATCCTGCTGCTGCAGCAGGAGTAGCTTAAGTTTTTAATAGCTACTTTGTATTTCAGGAATTATTCAGTAGCCATCCAGTTACAACTAAGCCCTAACCTTTGATTTTCTAAAATACTATTACCTCAAATCCTTCATTACTAACACTGGGTCCAGTGCCAGGTAGCACAGCCTGTCCCAGATGAACAACATTTACTTGTTCTCTTCAAAAACATCCCTAGAAAGGAGGCTCAGGGAAGTAATTCCTACACAGTCTGAGCAGGAGCACCTGCACTGCCTGAGAAATGTACTTCCACCTAGACATAAACAGCCTGCTCATCAGCTTAGGCATAGGTATTACAGTTGAACTTGCTGTAAGAATATAATTCCCATGCAACCTAGATTCCCCAAATGAAACCAAATAGCAGTCATAGAATCACAGAGCAGTTTTGGCTGGAAAGCACCTGCTGTTCCACCCCCCCTACTGGAGATGATAAAGCATAGAGAAATGCACATTATCACTTTTAAAACGTACTACTAAGCAAACTATTAGGTATCTTTTTGCAAGATACTAATTCATTTTTATTAGTCCACAGAAAAATTCTACTTCCCTCTCCTTCATCAGAACTCATCAAGTCTTATGAAAACTTCCTAGATAACATGTCCATGACGTAAAAAACACTTGAAAATATTTGGCCTTCAAGTTTTCTTGCCCAACAACCTGAAGTTTCAAGGTAACTTCAGAGCAGCCTCTTATTACAACAATGAAATACTTAAGCAAACCCCCACTTAGATAGTTTAACTTCTAGAAATGTTACCTGAATTGTTCTGAGCAGTTCCAGATTGCTCTCCAGCAGCACGAGATTACTTCTGCCTTCACTTTGCAGATCCATTTGCTGACAAGCAGCACACACGTGTTCGACCTCTCTCATACCTGATTTGCCACAGAAGCATATTAACTTGTTTCTTGGATTTCCAGTCAGGGCACTTACTTTGCAGCTCAGTGAAGCGTGTTTGTTCAAGATTCATTACTAACTTGTTATAGACAAGTCTCTAAACTCACTGAGGACAGTTGACTGATACAGAAGATGGAGTTTCCCACCTTTGACCCAAATTTACCAGCATATTTAAAAAACATACTGGTAGCCACTGTCATAACTGTGGGAAGGACACTGTATTCAAGAACAGAGCCTTACAGACACAGCATTCACAACAACATACCCAAAAAACCAAGGCCATGACCTGTTAATAATAGCCTGCAATAGGTAGGAACTGCAAAGCATATCAACCCAGCTCATTGTCACCTTTACCTCTGTAGGAAGGAGATCTTGGCATCATAATACCTCACTGTAAAAACATGCATGTGCAGAACTAATGTTTTTCCATGGCTGGTCCAGAACTGCCCAATTGTTTTGAAAACAGATCTATTTTAGGACATTCGTGTACTTGAGACAGAACTCACCTGTATCTTAAGTTAGCCCTGTGCCGACAGGCATTACCAGCCAGTGAATTCTGCAGGTCGATTCCCACATTTGTTTTCTATCTGCTGTTCAAATGAACACCACTGATGTAGAAGATGACATTAGAAATAAAAATCCATTCAAACAATACCCACAATCCTCCTCCTTTACTCTTATCAGTTGCAGTGGGATGAGCAAGGAAACCAGTGAGAACAATATTTCCCTTATGGGAAATACCTCTCAGAAAATGCTTCATGATGTGAGTCTAGTCCTCTTCTTAAAAACCTATGTCAGTAAAATACTTTTTAGTAGTATTGTCAGTGTACATGTCAAGTTTCACTGGGAACACTGCAGTTTTAAGAAGGGAGTATGAAAAATTAACATGTCAACTCAAGTTTTAGAATGATTGCAAAATTTTCCACAGAAAAGCAACAAAAGTGAAACTGTACAAAAAACCATGATGGAGAAGGCAGAGCTGGATGTGGTCTATATTCACCAACACCTGTTTTGACAGGGAGATTTAAAAAGGAAAAATGTTAATACAGAAAGGATCTATTAAACCAGACTGTTACTAGATAGACAGGTGAGCCCACTGGTGAGTAACACAAGATGGCCTCAACTGCCATGAGAAACCCAGGCTTAATTAAATTCAATTAAAATTAAAATTCAGTGGCAATTTATTCAACATATTTACAACAATCCAATTCAGATTAAACATCTGTAGCATCAGTATTTAAAAAAATAAAACAATGTTTAAAAAGGGTTAAAGTATCATTTGCTAAATTCCATTGCACATCAGTTTATTTTCCCATTTCAAAAGGGAGCAGCAAGTAGTTGATTATATAAAGGCAAACATACGTGCATCCAAGGCTAATATAGCCATTTAAAGTTGTAGCAACAATATATGAAACAGCATAATCAGTTTTTCTTTTTTTAACAGAAATATTTATAATAATTTTTACAAGTAAGGAATCAAGATGTTAAGTATGGATCCAGTTAAATACTTTCAGTGCAGCAAGAGAACTGTTAATATTTCACAAAGTTTATGTAGAAAACACATCTGCTTAGCATTCCTAGCTTCTCATAGCACAATGGTTTTAGTACTCAACTGCCTGGCTCCTTGGATACTAACCACCAACCGGGCTGGCTTCCAGAAGTACCAAAATACTGTCAGCTGATGTCAATTTAACACCATTTTGACATGTAAAGCAGTGGAAGTTTAACTGAAATATCATTTTTTTAATGACATGGCCAGGAACAGTCTTTACCAGTATTGCTACCAATATTCCTCACAACTTTTACTTACTAGTGCCAGGATATGGGGGTCAGTTACTCATGCTCATAATTCTTCTGTCCTAACAAAAAAACAGTGACCAGTTTGTGCAGACGATCAGAAGCAGCGGATGGAGAATCTAGCTGGAATCTTGGACCAAACAGACACAGACAGACTGAAGTTCGTTACCTTCCATGTGACCACTCCTACTTTTAATGGTGTAGCTAGTGTCTAAAAAATTTTTTTAATTAAGCTCCTCAAAATGCCCCCCTTTCTTTTTTTCCTTTTAAATTGAGCCCTTAAGTGTAGGGCCTTCTCCCCATCTACCAAGAACCTTGTGCTTGATTTCTTACCACCTTTATCTTCTCTTTCCTGCTACCTAAATGGATGGTTTGCTATGTTTTTGATGCCTATGCCTCTTTCATCTTTGGTAAAATCCTTTATGTGAGATTCTCACTCTTGTCTACCTTTTCAAAAAGGCCACAGGTGAGATCACCACTTAAGAGCGTAACTGTGGCTTATGCAAAATAGTTCCTATTCTAGAAGTACATGCCACTTAATGACATTGCAGTAAACAGAAGAATTCTTATCTATTACAGGTGGTTAACTTCGAGAATGGCCAAAAAAATACCCACTTAACCCCCTCCTCCCCCGAAGACAAAGGGGTCTTAAGAACAAAGATAAACTAGCAGGATTAAAAATGTCTTAATTTTAAAAACTGCCTTGAAAATATGGAGTTCAACAAGTATCCACCTTCTCATGTATTACCCAGATTCTGCAGCAAGAACGTTTGCATGAACATCCACCTACTACAGCTTCAGAACTCTATTCCTCAGAAGACAAGCAGCAGCTAGCTTCCCAGTCACCACTGAAGTGCAGCTCCACCCAACTTGTTCAGCATGCTGACAGGAGTTTGAATTCCAGTTCAGAACAGGCACATGGGGAAGTAACCACAGCTAAGCAAACCCTGAGCAAAGTAGTTTTGAAGCAATGTTTCCAGTCATGGTTTATCATTTTGAGACAGTTTTCTGAAGGTTTTATGCAAGACAAGTATCAAGGTGTTCATTTATTTTAGACTCCAAAACCTCAGTCTGGCAAACAGGACAACTGACTTTTTTATCCTGCCTCAGAGCAGTGCTGGAACTTGCAGAGGACACTGTAGATTCAGCTTTGGTTTTTAAAGGTGTATTTATATTTGAAGTGACATCAGTATCACCTTTTTTAATGAAATAGTTTTCAAAGGCAGTTTTGTCTTCCATTTTTGGCCATTGCTGCAGTGTATTAGAACCTTCTGAGCTTTTTTTCTGACCTGTTGTTGTCTGCTCAAAACAAATTTGTTTTGGTGACCTGTTATAAAATGGCATAACCCTCTTGCCACTTGCAGAGTCTTGGTTTGATTTTTCTTCCATAACACGAGCAATTTTAACAGGTGATCCACTCACATTCTTGTAAGCTTTTGAATTAGCAACAGAGAGTTTAGGGAACTCACGCTTTGAAGCCAAGTTGATTTTTTCACTGGCATCACCAGTACACAGTGGAAAAAAGATGCCACTACGGGGTGATTTTTCGAATTTTATCTCATTTTTAGGGATTGGTATTGTCCTTACTGGGGAACGAAGTTGTGAACCAGATGTTTCACCTGTGCTTTTTTCTGAGAGTCCACTGTCTCCCCCTCCAAGCCGATATCCCTTTCCACTAAAGGGTACCAGATCTTGCGTATCATGAGTTTTTGTCTTGCCTGCAAGTTAAAGAAGAGAAGAAAATAAGAATAGTAACTTTTTCATATATAAGTCATGGGCTTATTATTTTACATGCTTCATAAAAAAAAAAATCTGCTGCTTGAAAATAGTGCAGTAAACTAAACCTTTTGCAAACAGTTTAGTTCAGAAGGAGCCTAGAAATACACAAATAAAACAGGCCCCATTCTTCACTACGTAACAGTAATATCTGAACAGAGCTCACGTAGTGGTTGATCTGTACGTGTTCAAGGAACTGTTCGGGCAAAACCAGTTTGGAAAACAAGCAAAAAAGTTATTTTAAATACCTTTCTCAGGTGACTCAGAATTTGGAAGTTTTTCTGCCTGAGTTTTCTCCTTGGATTTCTTAGAGAAGTTCTCTGGCTCCTTCACTTTCGTGAATGTTCCTCCACATGTCTCTTGATGCTCTGTCCACCAGAAGTCTCGTGCAGAGGGTGCTCTATTCATCGAACGTTTCACATATCCAAAGTAAGGTTTCCTATTTTGGCAGGGGCCGTTGCATCGCCACCAGTGCTGGCGGTACAGATCCACCTCATCATGAAAATCATGATAGATCTAGGTTAAAAAATAAAAAATAGTCATTCAGAAAGTTTCTAATTTTGTACCACCAGCTCTACAATATTCTTTAAAAAACAAACTACCATTTCATTCCTTCCATTACTGCTGTGATTTTTACATTACCAGTTCACAGAACTGAACCTGGGTAAAATTCCATCAACATTTAGATACCATTAAAACAAAGCTTAAAAGACAGGATATGTAGGAATGTGTCCTGGCTATCTTGTTTGAACTGCAGTAAAATCACTTTGAAAAATCTATGTACAATTTCACCCTAAATGATGTACTGGTTAGAATGCATTGCAAACAATGCCAGTACTGTATTCTTCCTCCAGCTACTATCTTAATGGATATTATCAGACATTATTTTGCAATACCATCAACCCATTTGCCTCTACTGATATAAACCTTAATTAAAACAGACTGTTCTTCCCCAAACAGTATTCTGACACGGAGCTATACTGTCTCTGATATCATTAAGTTGTTTTAAGTTTAAATAAAAATACTTAGAGAGGCCACATTTGAAAAATTATAGGACCAACAACTTGCCACACCTTCCTCAACCTGTTCCCACCATCATCCCCAACAAAATAACTATGGAACTGGCATACACTTGGATGCAAATGTGTATTGGTACCAACTGTGGAGCATCAAACAAGAACAAGCCTATTACTCATACCACACCAGGTATACCAAGAAGCCAAACCAGGAAGAACCCTCTATTAAATTAGGTTAAGTGGATTATGCTTACTGTGACATTGGCTCCAGTCAAGCGATTAATGCGACGCATGTGCTTGCAGAACTCTGGTCCATGAGATTCACGATCTTTGTCATTATTAGTAACAAAAAGCAGGGCATGGATCATTTCATGCAACAGTGTCTGAAACAACGAAAATCATTAGCTATTTACCGAAAAGCATTACATACAGTTTCAAAATTAAGCTGTTAAGTATCCTACTCCTCTACATTTATCTCAGCACTGATCTTCTCTTCATGTATTCACATGTTCAGTCTCAGGCATACAAACATAATACTCATTCTACCTGTGAAATCAAATTACCTCTATTCCCATACCACCAAAACATATTACTACAATAAGTGACATTCCAAAAAGGAGAAATAATCCCCAAACTTAAGTCAGATCTTTAAAGAGATCATCCCTTCTGCAACCAAAAGGGACACTTGTGAGAAAGTTGAAACCCCACAGCATTTTTGTTCATTAAGCAAACTCAACAGCCAGCTCAAACCAGCACCCCTGATAGAGGCACAAGAAGCAACACGAAGTTATGTCTACAATCATACACTATATCCTTATTTTCAGCCATTGGCCTTTTGAGCTGAAAGATGTAGCTAGAGCCATCTTCTGATTGTGCTTTCAGTCCATGTTTGTTTTTAATATTAGGAATAATTTATGAGTAAAATAGTTGGTTGGTTTTGTTTTTTTTCAGTAAAACAAACAAGTGGCTTTAGTCTCCCACTCAGAGTTGCCCATTTAGAAATATAAAAATGAAAGATGACCATGACACTGAAATGTAAGCAATACAAATGTAACAATAAAGCCACCACTATTTTACAATCTATGGGGATGTAAGTATACATAGTATGCAATACATACTATAATATATAAGAATCCTACTATAAAATGTTTGTATGGGGGGAGCACAATAGTTTTATGTGCAGATTTGTGAGCACTCTCCAAATACCTCAACAAGATCTTTCCTTGGTCTTAACTTGAGGAGTGGCTCACTTAGACGAATGGAACACATTCCACCTTTTCCTTCATATTTACACACTCCAGCACAGCTGAAAGAGACACACAAAGAAAATATGAAAAGTTACTTGTTTCTGTAGTACGTGAATTGAGAATTGGAGTTAAAATGCTGTCCTCTCCTGGCACATGCTAAGTAATTCTCAGAACACGAAAAAAACCTTTTAGTAGTTACTTGAAAAACTCAAGAAGATGGTAAGGAAAAACCCAAATCCACAAGTTCCTTAGAATAAGCTGTGACTGAACTAGCAAAAGAGAAACTGTATTTTATTAGATATCTTGCAATCACTTAAATTCAAAGTTAGAGTAATCCTGAGGAAAGCGGGGGAGGGGGAGAGGAATCACAATAGACTGTTCTAAACTAACCTGTTTAGGAGGCAGAGGATTGTTTTCATTAGAATTCCTGATGGAATGAAATACATAAAACAGAGATTCTGGATACTCAAAGCAGGCAACATCAACTTAACTGCTGGTTGCTGCAGTTTAACTCCTCACCCTCTCCCAGTGTTTGACTCTTACTGAACCTTCATGTATCATCACTTCTGCATGCTAATCCAGCAGAAAACATTTTATTTTTAATGTTTCTGAGTTAGTGCTCTAGCTGTTCAGTATCCAAATATTCCCAACTGTTTAAAGAGTACTTCAACCAGCAGAGGACAAGAGGGGGCAGCACTCCAGCAGCCAGCAATTGCATCAGCTGATCTGCTGCAGAACTGCAACCTGCACTTCAAAGCTTTTGTTTTCATCTTAGATTTTTCATATATTCCCCTTCCTAATCTGTTCTAAGTCTTCTTAATATACTGCTATAATTTCATATTTGCCTTTCTGCCATGCTGTAAAATTATCATAAAATCTGAGAACAAGAAAAACAACAGCAATATATTCTTTTAAGCTTTGACATACAGTTTAAGACCAAATTATTTATTCCACTTTAACATCTCTCCAGTTCTGCCTGCACCACGGGAAAAGACATTTAGGGTTGCCAAGGATGACCAGTGAAGGACAAAACAAGGCAACACCTCTGACACAGCACCGGCACCCTGCTGGGGCCCCACGGCAGCTTC